GATGGGCGAGGTGGCATGGCCCCGTCCCCCCCCCCCGCCCACCTCCCAAGATTCTATCCACAAGTCCCACTACCTCTTTGCCATGCCACCTCCTCCGCAGGTGCCTGCTCTTGCTTCAGTCTCATTCCGACACCAACCCTCTCAGAGGTCTCCCCAACCCCCCAAAACTAGGTTTTAGCCCTTTGGAGTTAAAACATGCTACACTTCTCTGTACCACTCAGCATGGTGCTCAGCACACAGCAGGCACTTACATAACTCCCGATTAACTGAATGAACTGAGGCTGTCATTAGCAGGAGGGTACCACCAATGCCCAGGGAGACCAGCCTCCTCCTGTGCTCTGACCTCCTCACAGCCTGTCTGCACTCTGCACATGGGCTTCTCAGTGGTGCCCTGCTGTCGGGGCTTCTGTTACCATCCCACACTGGGTAGAACACCTCCACTGCCCCCGTGCCTCCCTCACCCCTCGCACAGACCCCATGATGTCCTGAAGAGGGTGCCAGCTCAAGACACAGACCAACTTCCCACGATGTCCTGAAGAGGATTTCAGTTCAAGACAGACTGGAACCCTGCCCTCATCTCTTTACCCACCATCTCTCACCCTGAACCACAGATAAGCCCAGGACACATAAAATATATAAAATAACCAGAAGAGCTGGACCCAAATTCCCTGCCAATCCTTCCAGAACAGACACCATGGAGGGACATGTCTATCCCCAGATGCTCTTCTGCAGCTGTTCCCTGGCCTCTCTTCCAGCAGGGACAAGAGCTCCCTGGCATGTCTCATCAGAAACCACCAGTGACCTGCTGGGTCCCACAACCTCCTTTACCAGGACTGATTCTGAGTGATCTGAGGGGTTTCCAAAAGTCAGAGTCACCCTCTCAATGCAAAAAGGGATCACACTTGCAGAGCTGCTAAGGTATCTGGGCCAAGCTTCATCAGGCCAAATAAATAAGCTCAAGGTAGTAGGTTACAAATTCTAAATTTTTGCCCCAAACTGGAAATAACCCAAATGTCCTTCAACTAATGACTGGATAAACAAACTTAGATCATCCATACATGGAGTACTACTCAGCAACAAACAGTAATGAATTACTTATGCTCCCAAAAATGTGGGTCAATCTCAAATGCATTGTACCAAGTGCAAGAGGTCAGACTCAAGACACACATGCACACAGACATACTTCAAGGCTGTTTACCATACAATTATATTTACATGACGTTCTTGGAAAGTCAAAATCATAGGGACAGAAAACAGACCAGTTGTTGCCAGGGGCTGGAGATAAGGGGAGGCATTTATCATAACAGGGCACAGAGGAGTTTTTGAGGTGATGGAGTGAATTTTCTTTTACGTAGGTTATGGAGTAGTGTGTTTGTCAAATTTAACAGGGAGAATTTTACTGGATACAAACTATACCTTAATAAACCTGACTATAGGGCCGAGCCCGTGGCGCACTCAGGAGAGTGCGGCACTGGGAGCGCGGCAGCGCTCCCGCCGCAGGTTCGGATCCTATATAGGGATGACCGGCACTCACTGGCTGAGCGCGGTGCGGCCCGTCTCAAAAAAAAAAAAGGACAAAAAAAATAAATAAATAAACCTGACTATAAAAACCGACATGTAACTAAAGTATCTGAAGGGTAAAAGACCATGATGTATGTACGTTACTCTCAATTGGATCAGGAAAAAAAACAATATATTCACACACATTTAAACTAAAACAAGAGGATGTAATAAAGCAAACGGGGCAAACTAATACTAACAGATGAACCTGAGTGGAAGGAAGGAATTCTTTGTTATTCTTGCTTAGGTGCTCCCATGTAAGTGTCATCACTAACCCCAGATGCAGGCAAGTTTCCAATCCTAGACTGCATGACTGGAAACTGACATTTCTTAGACAAATGGAAATGTCACCAAGAAGTGGAAAACAGAATGGAAGATGAGGTGGGAAGGATAAAAGAGTACAGATGCTTCAGAAGTTAGAGGCTTAGTCCTGCCATAGCTGGGACCCCAGGGCTGACCAGAGGCCCCAGGCCCCAGCTCTAGTTGACCAAGCAACTCTTCAGGTGAGAAGGCAATGGCTGACCCATAATCTATGCCCTTCCAGCATGGTTCCCGTAAGTTTTACTTCCTGACTATCACAGTTTGATTCTGGTATGGTTTTTCCCGGTTGGACACTCATTTTTAACCTACTAGGACTTGACTTTAGGTAAGGGATGATATTGATGCTTTTAAAATATTTGTGGCCAGAAGCTGACATATGCCACTTTTGTTGTTGTTTTTTTTTTTTTTTAAAAGATGACCGGTAAGGGGATCTTAACCCTTGACTTGGTGTTGTCAGCACCACGCTCAGCCAGTGAACGAACCGGCCATCCCTATGTGGGATCCGAACCCGGGGCCTTGGTGTTATCAGCACCGCACTCTACCGAGTGAGCCACGGGCCGGCCCACCACTTTTGTTTTTAACTAGGGTGTCTGGAGCTGTGCTGTCCAATATGGTGGCCTCTTGAAGTGCTTGAGGCATGGCTGGCCAAATTGAGATGGACTCTAAGTAGAAAATAAGCACTGATTCCAAAGAATCAGTTCAAAAACAAACAAAAAAACACAAAAAACAAAATAACTCAATTTTTCATTATATATTACTTGCTAAAATGATATTCTGGGTTAAATAAAATATATTGTTAAATTAATCTGTTTCTTTTTACATTTTTTAAAAACATTGCTAGTACAAAACTTAAAGTGAACTCTGTGGCCCTGTTGTGTTCCTATTGGACAGAACTGGTCTACAGCGCAAACTCTGAACCTCCAGCAGGGGGCAGTCCTCAGTCAGATATTGTTTGGCCTTTCATATGAGAAATGAGGTCGCCATTACTTTTCCTGCTTATACTGTGAAACAACTCAGACTCTAGGTATTTATTGATTATGAAACCCTAGATTAATAGTCTCCCCAAAGGGAGTGGCAAAGATGAACACTTTTTCCATGCTGCCTTGCCAACGAGGAGTGGACATTCACTTACTTTGGCTTGTGCAGGGCTTCCCCTGCACCCCTCCTAATGATCCCTCCCCTGTTTAACAGGGCAGTCACTGATGGAAAGAGTCTTGAAGCTAACTGATGTACTGACAGCTTCGATCTTTTCCATTCTCAAAAGATTGCCAATCTCCTAAAACCTTTCTGACGAGGAGGCAGGAAAACTTCATTTGGAAGGATACCATTCTCTCATCCATTCACTCCCTGCATGTATCAGGAAACTGAGGACAGGAATTTGGGGTCCCCAAAGTCCTCCCTTGGGGAGAAAAACAGACACTAGGATGAGTTTCAAATGTCACCTGGCTGATGAGGAAGCTCTGACACCTCCCTTGTGGAAGTCTCCCCCTCAGGAGACCCTCCGATTTCCCTCTATTTTCTCTACTGAATAATGGAATTCTTAAGAGTTACAAAAAACATTTTATATTTCCACCAAAATATAACCCTCGCCTCTGAACAATGGCTAAGAAGTCACAGGATGTGTTTGGAGACACACCAGGCAACATTCCTTTTACGTAGCCGCCCCCCCAGTGAAAACAGCAGCAGCTTGCCCTGGCCCAAGATACGATACACGTGTGACTATCTCCATTCCCCCTGCAGAAAGGAACACCGCCTCTGTTTTCTTCCTTAAAATGGCCCAGATCTTGCAGAGGCCAGACAGACAGGCAGGCTATAGTGCCAAGGCAATGGAAGGTGCACCTCCAGGTTCCTGTTGACTTTGGGCCTCCCCACCCCACACTACCCCCCCAGACATTACCTTATCCAAGAGCTCTCTGGTCTCTTCAGTCAGGGGGTCATGGGAGAACATACAGTCATCACCATTGATGCAGTTCCCAGTTGTGTGGTACAATTTACATGGAAAATCACGTTCACGGCAAATTAAGGCAAATGCTTCATCTCACAGAACCCACCCGAGGGCAGAATCCAACCCCCTTTGGCTTGGAGCTGAGAAAACTGAAGCCCAGAGAGGTGAGGTGACTTGCTTAGGATTGCAGAGCGGTTGGCAGAAGACAGGACAAGACCCCAGTTCTTGAGACTCCTGTTCCAGAGCACTTCCTGCCCCACTACGCTGGCCTTCAGGCTGTGTCCTCAGATCCTCAATGGGAATGGGAAAGTTAAATGACTTGCCCAAGCTCCCAAAGCTGGTTGAAAAAATCTCAGAAAGACAGGCAATGGTATAGGCCAGTCTTGAGAGTGTACATAAGAGAGAACGTACGGCACGTGTCTCAGTTTACTTATCTGCAGAATGCGAACTGCTGGCCCATCAGAGGGCAGATGTGAGCGTTAAATGAGATGGAGACACACAGAAAGCTCTCGGGATAGAGAGAACAAGTACATGAAGGTCAGCTGTTACTACTACTAAGGAGAAGAGAAGTTCTGCACCCTCATCCAGATCAGATGCAGGTGCCAAAGGATATCATGCATATAGGGGCAGTTCTCAGCTCTGGCGCAAAATCCAGTGATATAAAACTTGCACAGTTCTCGCTTCTTTGGTAGTTCAATGTCGTGGCTAAAATTACAGTGGTCTCCCTGGAAGAGAAGCAATGAAAAGTTGAGGTGGTGGTACAGTGAGCCAAGTGCTGCTCTGTTAACTGCTTGTGCACAGAGGAGCCAATGACAGAAACAAATCCCCTTTGCAAAAGGACAGTGAGCCCAGGAAAGGCAGGCTCACAAATGCTGCTTCCCAACTTTGCAGCTGCTGACATAGCTTGTGCCATCTCCCAGAAACTGCTCGTGCTCCTCTCTCTCGGGCCCAATCCCTCCTCCCTCCATGCTACTGCCTTTCACTGCTTCTTTCTGTCTCTTCTCCTTTTTCCTCCTCTTCTTGCTCCTCTCTCTCATCTACTCACTGTTTTTTTTTTTTTTTTTTTTTTTTTTTTTTCTCTCTCGGGCCCAATCCCTCCTCCCTCCATGCTACTGCCTTTCACTGCTTCTTTCTGTCTCTTCTCCTTTTTCCTCCTCTTCTTGCTCCTCTCTCTCATCTACTCACTTTTTTTTTTTTTTTTTTTTTTACTATTTGCTGTGTGGCAACCAGGACTAGTCACCCTGTATCCACTCCCATGCTGCTTCCTACCTAAAAGAACTCCAATTTTGTTTAGGGAAGAATGTGCTTAGCTAAAAATACCCCATTTTGGGCCGACCCAGTGGCGCACTGCTACAGTGCACCGCTTCAGAGCACGGCAGCGCTCCCGCCGAGGGTTGTGATCCCGTTGCCGGACACGAAAAAAGACAAAAAGGAAAAAAAAAAAAAACATCAACCCTTATAAATGGCTTTGAGGCCATATGGATTGGTTGAAAATTTTGGCCAACAAATCCCCCTAAAACCAAAAATACCCACACACATCACCTTGCTCTGGGTCCTCCTCACTCTGAGAAGCGAACCATGTCTTCCAGGGCCCCCAGGCATCTCTAGGTACCAACATGTGCCCACAGGGACAGGGACCATCACACAGTCACTCTCACGCATGCTGATCAAGGCCTCTGGGGGTTGCTGTCCTGCCACAGATGCCCAGGTACTTTAAGTGGCTCCTTACCCACGTGCACCGCCCTTCCACGAAGTATTTGCAGATGACTTTGCCTTTCTTGTCAGACTGCTGGTGGGGGTCACTCCTCCGGTAGCTGCTACCACCACCATCCTGTTAGGAACACAGAGTGTAAATGCAAGGGGAAGAGCATTCCTAGAACATTCACAAGAGCATCAACTGACAGGTTGAGTCCAACACTGAGGCTGCCTACAGGGTTTGAGCCTCATGGTGCAGAGTGTTGGTGCTCAGATGGGAAAAGCTCTGAACCAAAGCCACCAGTTCCATACATCTGTGCATAAATATCTCCCACCTCCTAGAGGAGGAGTCATGGCCTTTCTGTAAAACCCTCCAGGGCTAACTGAAGAGTCACCTAGAACCTTCTGAACCTCAGAGACTCATTACAGGTGGCTGCAGGTACTGCCAAAGATGTGATTTTTATTTATTTATTTATTTTTATTATTATTTTTAAAGACGACCGGTAAAGGGATCTAAACCCTTGGCTTGGTGTTGTCAGCACCATGCTCAGCCAGTGAGCAAACCGGCCATCCCTATATGGGATCCGAACCCGTGGCCTTGGTGTTATCAGCACCGCACTCTCCCGAGTGAGCCACGGGCCGGCCTCAAAGATGTGATTTTAAACACAGAAGTTCTCACCAACAACTCATTTCCCAGGAGAGACGACTAACTCTGATCAACCCTTCAAGGAACAGCTGATGGGAGCAGGGGGATAGGATCAACCTCACAGAACGACTCATTAAAGAAAAAAAAAATCCAAGAGGGAGCCTTAGCCAAAAACATCAGATCAGAGTGAAGAGTCAACTCACGCCCATGTCCTCATCATAGAAGTCTTCATCGTCGTTCATTCCACCCTTGTTCATCCCTCCTCGGCTGCCACCTCGACCACGGCCCCGGCCCATCCCTTTCCCTCGACCTCGGGAACCCCGGCCACGGCCTCGACTTAACCCTGCAAAGAGGAGAGACGGCATTAGCCTGCTGACCTTTCCCTGGACCCAAATCCAGTAGCTGCCAAAGAAGCCCCCACTGAGCACCTCACCATCAGGGTCCCCTGCCCACCTCGACCTCGGCTGTCCTTGGACCGGCGGTATTGGTTCAGCTCCTTGGAGTATTCATCGTAATCATCATCTCCCATGGGCTCTTCATTCTCTCCATACTGGAATTTGGAGAAATGGAGAGTGCAGGAAAGTGTCATGTGGCGGACAATGAACACTGTCCGTAACTACATACTCTGCCCCCTTCTGAAGGGCAGGTGACCAACGCCAGGGACTCACACTTGTGAGCCCTCTTCACAGGCCCTGGAGTGAACAGTGGGTTGTCCTAATCCTTTCCATGTAGGCTTCACTCTGAAAACTCCCATCCCACTGAGCAAATGCAGCACAGCACCGCTGTACATAATGGACAACTGTGTGGCTACCAAAAAGAATGACAGCTCTTGGGGGGTGTCACAGGCCTCAACCACCCCCCTCCTTCCTCTTTCCACCTTATTTCCTTCTCCTTTCCCCTCTCCCCCCAACTGTTTCTCAACAACACCACAGGATGTAAAAATATATATATTAATAATAATAAAAAAAAAGAATGACAGCTCATCATGTACAGCACAGAAGTATATCTGGATAGGGACAGAACAGTGAGAGTAATATGCTCTCCTCCAGAGGTAAGTGGGGGATAGTGAATAAACATGCACCTGTCTATAAAGCCATAAAATATTTCTAGAGGATATTCGGGAAACTTGTTTCCAGGGGTGGGATTTTTTTCACAGCCCACTTTGATACCTTTCCTATTTTAAGCTATACGAAGGTTTTATCCTTCATATGATAAATGATAAATGAACATTTTTAGACACACAAACCTGCCATTGAAGGCTCCCTTCTCTTCAGAAAGGTCCACATGTCCCTCCACCTTGCTCTTACAGGCCTCCCCCAACAACACTCGTGCCCGCAGAGCCCACCAGCTGCCCTCGTACCCCAAGGGCTGGAGAAAACCTTACTTCCATCTCCTCTTCATAGAAGTCCTCGTCGTCCTCTGGGTGGTCTCCTCCCACAGAGCCTCTGCCCCTGCCTCGGCTTCCCCTGCCCATGCCCCGGCCTCGCGATCCTCCGCGGCTTCCTCGACCCCTGTAGCCACGGCCACGGCCTCGGCTACCTGCACGGTGATTCAGACAGTGAACCTCAAGCAGGAGCAGACCCCGCCAGCAAGAAAGAGGATAATCCATTTTTTGCCCCTGAAGTCCATCATTTCATTCTTTTCTTCCTCCAAGAAGCCTTCCCAGCTGCCCCAGGCAGACTAATGGTCCCCGGTCCCCTTGGTCCCCTCAATGGGGTCCCTCAGCCTTCTGGACACATAGCTGCTACAGCACTCACTACCCTGCCTCCCAGGTACTCATCTATTTAGAGGCACACTGTCTAATATGACAGCTACCAGCAACATGTGGCTAGAGCACCTGAAACGTGGCTGGTCCAAACTAAGAGATGCACTAGGCAAGGCACCAATAGTCATAGCCCCCTCTGCCTGGATGCCGGCAAGAGAGCACACCCACGGTCCTAGGCAAGGAGCTGAGGGCCACAGCCCCCTCCGTCCAGAAGCAGGCAAGAGAGCACACCCAGGGCCCTAGGCAAGAAGCCAAAAAGCTGCAGTACCCCCTGCCCAAAAGCAGGCAAGAGAGCATGCTGGAAACACTTCTGCACAGATAGCCAACCACAGCCACAGCTGCTGCAAAAGGGGCGTGATGCCACAAGCAGCAGCCACAGCCATCGTGAAGGCAGCCCACCAGACTCGACTGCATTGATACAAGGAGAGTCACCAGAGGAGACCAGAAAAAGAAGAGGATGACTCTTTCCTCAAAGCCCACTGCAGCAGCCACAGCCATCGTGAAGGCAGCCCACCAGACTCGACTGCATTGATGCAAGGAGAGTCACCAGAGGAGACCAGAAAAAGAAGAGGATGACTCTTTCCTCAAAGCCCACTCCAGAGTAATAGAAAAAACAACTGCTCTGCCAGATGACCAGACATTAACACAGATACTAGAAATACAAAAACCCAAGAAAACATGACACCACCAAAATACAGTAATATGCAAATACCAGACCCTACAGAGCAGGGAACCCTTAAAATCACTGAAAATGAATTCCGAGCAACAATTTTAAGGAAACTCACTGAGATAAAAGACTCAGTTGGACAACATAATGAAACAAGAAAAAAAATCCAGGATACAAAGCAGAAAATTTACAAAGAGATTAATACCTTAAAAAAGAATGTAGCAGAACTCATGGAACTGAAAAATTCACTCAATGAAATAAAAAACACAACCCATAGCTTAAGAAGCAGGCTAGAACAAGCAGATGAAAGAATTTCTGATCTTGAAGATAGTCTTTTCAAAATAACCCAGGCAGACAAAAAAAAGGAAAAAAAATTTTTTTACATGAAGAAAATTTAAGAGAGCTAGCAACTTTAAGTGCACAAACAATCAAATCATGGGTGTTCCAGAAAGGGAAGAGAAAGGAAAAGGCATGGAAAACTTACTCCACGAAATAACAGGAAACTTCCCAGGTATAGGGAGAGACATGGACCTTCAGATCCAGGAGGTTCAACGGTCTCAAAACAGATTCAAACCACAAAAGATCCTCTCCAAGACACATTACAATCAAACTGGCAAAGCTCAAAGACAAAGAGAGAATCTTAAAAGTAAGAGAAAAGTGTCAAGTCACCTTATAACGGAGCCCCTATCAGACTAACAGCAGACTTCTCAACAGAAACTCTACAGGCCAGAAGAAAATGAGATGATATATTCAAAATACTAAAAGAAAAAAACTGCCAGCCAAGAATACTATACGCAGCAAGGATATCCTTTAGAAATGATGGGAAAATAGTATATTTTCCAGACAAACAAAAACTGGGGGAGTTCACCACCATACGACCAGCCCTATAAGAAATTCCTGCATCTGGAACCCAAACAATAATCACTACCACGAATATACAAGAAAGAACAAAACCCACTGGTAGAACAAAAATGCACACAAGAAAGAGAAAGAACTAAATCTTACCACCACGAAAAGCCATAAAGACAGTGTAATACAATGCCTCTACTTCTGATTTTAGTAATTTCGGTCTTTTCTCTTTTTTCTTGGTCAGTCTAGATAAAGGTTTGCAAATTTTGTTGATCTTTTTAAAGAATCAACTTTTGATTTTGTTGATTTTCTCTATTGTTTTTTAATTCCCTATTTCTTATACTTCTGTTGTAATCTTTGTTATTTTCTTCTTATATTTGCTTTTGGTTTAGTTCCACTTTTCCTATTTTCTTTTTTTTTAAAAGATGACCGGTAAGGGGATCTTAACCCTTGACTTGGTGTTGTCAGCACCACGCTCTCCCAAGTGAGCAACGGGCCGGCCCTTTTCTATTTTCTTAAGGTAGAAGTTTACATTACTGATTTGAGAGTTTTCCTATTTTTATTTTTTTATTTTTATTTTTTGTCTTTTTGTCTTTTTTCCGTGTCCGGCAACGGATCGCAACCCTCAGTGTTGCCCCCGCACCGGACCGGGGACCGGCAACGGGATCGCAAGCCTCGGCGTTGCTCCCGCGCCTCGCTCAGCCAGTGAGCGGGAGCCGGTCTGTATGTGGGATCCGAACCCTCGGACGGGAGCGCCGCCGCGCTTCCCAAGCAGCGCACTATCCAGTGCGCCACCGGGCCGGCCCCGAGAGTTTTCCTATTTTTAATATAGGTGTTTACAAGTACAAATTCTCCTCCGAGTACTGCATGAGTTCTGCATCCTATAAATTTTGATACGTTGCACTTTGATCTTTAGCTCAGAGTACTCTCAAATTTCCCTGTGATTTTTTTTTTTAATCCATTATTCAGGAGTGTTGTTTAATTTCCACACATTCGTGAGTTCTCTAAATTTCTTTCTGTTATTGTGGTCAGAGAACATATTTTTTATGATCTCAGTCTTTAAAAAAAAAAATTATAAAAAAACACAAAAACTAAGAGGTGCTATGAGTACAAAACACCCAGTGAATTTCAAAGAGTTTGAAAAAAGAAAAAAAAGAAAATATCTCATTTGTATATTTTGATTATACTTCGAAGATTTTTTAACGTATTAGGTTGATAAAACAGATTGTTAAAATTAATTTAATCTGGGCCGGCCCGGTGGCGCACTCGGTAGAGTGCGGCACTCGGGAGCGTGGTGGCGCTCCCGCCGAGGGTTCGGATCCCATATGGAGACCGGTCTGCTCACTGGTTGAGCGCGGTGCGGGCGTGACACCAAGGGTTGCGATCCCGTTACCGGTCACGAAAAAAGACAAAAAGGAAAAAAAAATTAATTTAATCTATCTCTTCTCACTTTTTTAATGTGGCTACTAGAAAATGTAAAAGGACATGGTGGGTTGGATTCTATCTCCACTAGACAGCAGTGGTCTAGGATCTCCCCAGGGAGGTGTCCAATAGAGACTGCTGGAAGAAAGAACAAATGAACAGCCAACAAACTGGGCCTCAGGCAAGGGTTACAAGTCTAAGAACCTCTGAGGTGGAAGATTCTGGAAGCCCCCTTGGGCTGGGATGTCTTTATGGCCTGACATAGTTCTAAGAGGCCAGGCTGGGTTGACATCTGTCTGGAGCTCAGCCCTCCCTCAACATCCTCCCAGTGGCCACAGGTTCAAGGTTCAGAGGAGTGGCAGTTGCATGGGCTGCAGTCACACCTTGTCAGGTGATGGGAAGTGGGAAGATTGGGGGCAGGGGGAGGTTGATGGGGGTTGGGATAGCCAGTCGTCAGTTACCCTGACACAGAGGAGACAGAAATTTTCTCTTGTCTCTCTCCCCACAGCTGACCAGGAAGTGATTTTTAAAAAACCCTTCAGCTATGCTGGCCTTTTCCCTGCCCCATACCAGCCTGGCACCATGCCAACCATGGCCTAGCCAGGTTTACTCTTCCGACCGACGCTCACATGGCTAACTCCAACCTCCAGGGCCATGCCTATGCAGCTCCTGGCCATTCTCCTTTGTATGCTTATCCCAACTCTAAATGACCACCTATCTCTCCTCCTGGATTTGCAGCTCTGTGAGGGCCAGGCCACCCAAGTCTGTCTCACTCTGTGCAGTCCCCCAACCCTGGCACCTGTCCACTCCAACACCCTGGAGGAGAAGCTGCTGGTGGGGGGGGCTCACCTCGGCCCCGGCTGCTGCCCTCCTTGGCACGCCGGTACTGGTTCAACTCTTTGGTGAAGTCGTCGTAGTCCTCTTTGCCCATGTCCTCCTCTTCATCCCCCTCATACTCCCCGTACTGCTCATTCTCGTAGTCTTCATACATGCCGTAGCCCTTGCTGTCCATCTTGGAGTACACCTTCTTAGGCAGGGGCGTGGTGTGGGATGGGGGGTACTGCTGGTGGGACTAGGTCCCAGAAAGAAACAGGGAGAGGAGTGTGAGCCCAAGAGAGGCCCCGGGCCCAGACCACCAAGACCTCTGCTGTACCCTGAACTGACATGTCTATCTGGGTGTCCCTGGTTCGCACCACTGGCCTCCAGCCATTCTAGAGACTAGTTTTCACCCAGTGGGAGTTGGGGGGTGGGAGCAGCAGTGGGCCCAGATGTTTCTGTTCTTCAAAAAGGGTCATAGCTTGAAAGAAAACTGATATGCACAGACCCCAGGATGCCTGACAAAGCAAGGGGAAGAGATGGAGGCATTTTCCAGGGGCACAGAGCAAGCACATTTGGGGAGTGGTTCTGGTAGCAGGAAGCATGCTCATCGCTCAAAACTGTCCTAGGGCCTTAGAATTTAATTAATGACCTGCTTGGCAGCCATACTAGACAGCTGTTTCAAATTATGCTTTCCAAAGTGTGCTAGTGCCAAGTGATACTGGACAGAGTTATTATATAAATGGAAACAACCAAGATGTCCTTCAACAGGCGAATGGATAAACAAACTATGATACATCCAGACAATGGTGTATTAATCAACAATGAAAAGAAATGAGCTACAAAGCCATGAAAAGACACGATGAACCATAAATGGGTAATTGCTAAGTGAAAGAAGCCAGTCCAAAAAGCTACATATTGTATGACTCCAACTATGATCTTCAGGAAAATGCAAAACTGTGGAGACAGTAAAAGACTGGTGGTTGCCAGGGGCTCACAGGGAAGGAGGCAGGGATGAATAGGAGAAGCACCGTGGATTTTTAGGGCGGTAAAACTATTCTCCTTGATACTGTAATGGTGAATACGTAACATTACACATTTGAGAAAACCCAAAAAACTATAGAACCCTAATATAAATGATGGAGTCTAGCAAATAATAACATATAGATATTGATTGGCTCATCAATTGTAGCAAATATACCACACTAATGCAAGATGTTAATAATAGGGGAAACTGGGGTGGATAAAAGAACTCATACTACCTGCTCAATTTTCTATAAACTTAAAACTGCTCTAAAAAATAAAGCCCTATTAACTAAAAAATACCACATTCATTATAGACATATGGACAATACGAAATATAGATAGATACAGACACACAGAAGGACTTTAGCAGGTATCAAAATGCCTCAAGGTCTTGTTCACAATCAAAGCATGCAATGTTCCCTCCCTTCACTTCCTTCATTATAGACATATGGACAATACGAAATATAGATAGATACAGACACACAGAAGGACTTTAGCAGGCATCAAAATGCCTCAAGGTCTTGTTCACAATCAAAGCATGCAATGTTCCCTCCCTTCACTTCCCTGCTTCCCTCAGGCTTTTTTTTGGGGGGGGGGGGCTGGCTGGTACAGGGTTTCAACTCCTACCTCCCGTAGGCTACCTCCCTTAGGTTGGAAGTCTAAACCTACACCAATAGATCAATCTCAACTACAGTATCTCATCCATTATGATGGATGATGCTGAGTCACAAGATACCTGGGATAGATTTAAAGAGCTATTAACTGTAAAACATTTCTTATCAAAACCTGAAAATCCAAGTTGATTTTTTTCTTATGGGTTTTTCTGGGAGAAAAAAATAATATACACACTGAATAAATAATTTAAATTTATGCTTAAGCTCAGAAATATAATGGGATGAGTAATTAACGTCTGAATATGTGACATTTGGGATAACTTACTCCTGCAGCCATTTCACTCTCTTGCCAATTTTCCACAAAAGGTCAATTCTGAACAGTGGAAACCAGTCAACTATGAGGTGGACCAGTCAGCATCTTTCTTTGAGACATACTGAGTCCTGCCACAGCTGGGCAGAAGATGTGGCACAGAGATGACTTAAGAACATGCCTTATGGAGACCAGTTACTGCCTGTGTTCAAATCCTTGCTCCCACTCCAGAGCTGGGCAATCTTGCTGAAACTTACTAAGTCTCAGTTTCCTCTTCTATAAAATGGGGATAAAAACAATACCAAATCTCACAGGATTAAAATCCATGTAAAGTGCCATGCAAGAATGCCCCGCACAAAGCAAGTGCTCAAACATGGGCAGTTTTACTATTCCTGGCTCCCAGCTCAGCAGGGGGCCTCTGACCAGGACTCACTCACTTACCGGTGCATATGGGGGGCTGTACTCTCTGTACTTGCGGTGCCCCTTCTCGCTGGGGCTGAAATCCGAGTCATCAGAGAAGTCAGAGAAGTCATCACTGGAGGAAGCATGGCGCTACAATGACAGGGGAAGTAGATTTAGTGATTCTGCTGCAGATAGTCCACTCTGGCACAAACAGCTCCGGGACAAAGAATGCTGAAATGTGCTGGAAGGGCTCTGTGCTCTACCTGAAACATCTCACCTTGGGGCATTTAGTGGCAATGGAGCATAAGCTACCAACTCTTTAAATAAAGGTCTTTACCCCATTTGGGGCAGGAAAAAACATTATTAAGAGTGCCCTCTAGGGCTGACAGGACAAGCTTGGCCCCTGGGGCTCTTAGCCAGGCACAATGCCAGGCAGCCACAGCCCCAGCAAACGTTCCCTGACCTACTTTGTGCTTGGATTTCCTCCTCTTCTTCGACCGCCTCTTCTCCTTCTCCCGCTCTTTCTTCCGTTTCCGCTTCAATCTCCTGTGGGACTTCTCCTCATCCGAATCGCTATGGTGCTTCTCCCCCTTTTCTTTGCGGTTTCTCTCGGGCCCTCCAGAGGTATCCTGGGTCTCCTCAGCCCCGTCATCTTCCAGTTCCCCTTCTTCCAACTCACCATCTTCCCTACAAACCAACCCCAAAACCTACGTAAACACAGGGCTTGAGAGAAGACCCAAGGGCTCTGGGCTGGCCAAGTCTGACAGGAACAGATGGTCCAACTACTGTGAGTGAGAGCTGTGATCCCCGGGAGAGGGGCTGGGAGGATGTTGGGGCCACTGCCTCTTGTCCCACCCCTCAGCCTCCCCGCAAAAGGACTGCACCTGCTCTAGTTGAACCTGACTGGGAGGCAGGTAGGCAGTGAACTGTTGGAACTTAAAGGTACTACACCACTAATACTGGGACAAATTTATGCCAGGACTTCCTAGAGTGTTCTGCAGGACTAGTGTTCTTGGAAAAATTAAAGGAAGAAGGTTCTGCAGTCACATGAGTCAAGGAAAGGCCCATCTTGGGGATTCACAATGCTAAATATTCACAATACTTAATGCAAGAGAACTTCCAAGAAGTCCTGCAGTCCAGAAATATGTACAGTTCTGCTTTGGAGCATTTCTGAAAACCACTTGACCACAGAAGCTCCTTCTCCCAGGGAATACTGACTAGCAACCCTCCTATAGTGCAGCAGTGCACACTGGCCCATGGTCACCTACTTGTCCCCAGCCCCCTGGAAGCCCCCTGCAAGCTGGGTGTCAGCTCCACCTGGGGCCTAGGGTGATGGCTACGGACAGTAGAGAGAGGGCCATGTTTTGAACCGGGGCATCCCTCAGCTGCCTGGGTCCCATAAAAACCACTAATGAACAGGCTCTGGGCCCAGGTTTCCAGGTCTAACCAACCCGTCAGTCCCCCACTGCTGGGCCAGAGGCAGGGGGACGTTGAGCTACTAGAGCAGGAATGGAAGGATCCCAGGCCCCAGACCCCTCTGGAAGTCCTCACGTGACAGCTGCTCTTGCTTTCTCTCCCTCCTCTGACTCCCCTCCCCTCCAGCTAACCCTTCCAGCTCCCCATCCTTGGGTTTTCCTGACTTTGTCTACTACTCCACTCCTCCTTCCCAATCCCTGGAATTATAAAAGATAAAAGTACTCTCCAAATATGACAGACACTGCCAATAGGACATTCTACATTTCTAAATATCTACAGGATGGGGTGGGGATGAAGAGAGAAATAGGGTTAAGGACGGAACAGCTGGAGAAAGAATCAAGTTTTTGAGCCAAACCCACAGACACAGTTCTCACAAGTACAGGAGTTGGTAAAGGAAAAAAAATTTTTTTTTAACTTCCTCATGAATGACTACGGAAAGGTTTGTGTGACAGCATAAAAGTTCCTTCCATCTCAATTAACTAGGGCACAAAAAGAGAAGGAATATAATTTAAAGAGTAAGGTAATAAGCCCAGGACCCGAAAGGCTGACCGCAAAGCCCTAAACAGAAAGGCCCTCACTGCTTAGATGGGAGCAAGCTCATTAGGCGAGCCTGGCCTGGGAGCTCCCGGAAGGTTCTAACAGGCTTTGTGAAGAAACGACAAACCCTGCCTTCTCCGAGATCCCTCCACAGCCCTTTCACTCTCATCACTCTTTGTCTGCCTCAGGGCTGCTCCCCAAACATCAAGGGGCCCCTCAAGAGGGGCTTTCCTATTAACTCTCATTCCCAATTCAAAGGGGACGGGCCCAACCTAAAACCCAAGTGGCCCAGGCCAACAGACATCCTGGGGCAGAGGTCAAGGGCAGCTCTCAAAACATTGAATGCAAAACACAAAACTCTTTCTGCTGTTTCAAAAGAAACAGTAAGGAGAGGTGACCAATGTGGCCTTGTGTTGTTTCCTTGTAAATCGCCAGGTTGCTTGGCCTGCCCTGCAGGAAGAGCTGAGCAAACTTTGGATCGGGCAGGGGGAAAAAGCGGCATTCCTGACAAGGGAGGAACCTCCTGGCTAGGCTGTGGCTCACAAACAAGCAGGGGAGCAAACCTCTCATTGGACAGAAGCAATACTGCCGGGATGACCTTGCCACATTAAAAGCACTACCTGACTGGAGAAACTGGTTTTGTCTGAGGAAGAAGCTGTTACTCAGTGATATGACAAACTTGTGCAGCCTGGAGTTGTGATGACAATGGGAAGGGGTGACTGGAGCAAAGCCGACTTTGTGTCTCTGCTGGCAATATCCTTGGCAGGCCAAGGCCATACCTCACGAGAAACAGAGGGGAAAATGGAAAGAATGAGCTGGGGGAGGCCCAGAGACAGAGCTGGAGAGGTACAGACTGGCATTCCATTAAAAAAAGCTAAGAACAGCACCACCCTCTATTCTAGAAAGAAAAAAGCTGAGAGGGACATGATCACCCTTCACGCCACATATATTTTTGAGCACCTACTCTGTTCTGTGCCAGGTACTTGACTACCTCCTTTTCTGCATTTTCCTTGTAGAAAAAAAGACACAAGTGACAAGAAACTCAGTACACAAGGCAGCCTCCATGATAAACAGTCAGCTGAGTCACAGCTGGACGGCGGCATGGGACACCCCTCACTGAAGGTCTGGTCCAGGGTCAGCCGAGCCTCCATCCCTGTCCCAATGCCACAGCCAGCTCGGATAAAGGTATAGGCTGCTCTAAACCTAACACACCTCAGGGTGGGGTGGGGTGCCTGAAAGACCATCCAAGGAACTCCAAGAACCTCAACCATCATCCAGAATGACTCAGGAAAAAAACCTTTTCATTCCAAAGGACTTAGTATGGTAGGGAAGGACAGCATTCAAATCCACCCTACAAAGACCTTAGCCAAAGAGGGATTCTTGGCATTATCTATGTTAATAGCCCCAGGCATACCTGGGCTCAGTGAGAATCAACAGTACAACTTTTTACAAAACAGGTAGTGAATACTTGGAACTTTGTCTCTGTAGAGTTGAAAGTAGCTGAAAAAGAAATAGGATTTTAAAAAACTGCTGGTGATTTATGAAGGAGCACTGGGATGGTCACACCGGAGTTATCACTGTCCACTCTCAGTACCATCCAACCACATCATGCTCTCAAAGGCCTTAGAGTCCTGGGCTAACCTCTGCTAATGGTCACCTCAGGGGGTGGCCACTCATACCACCAGAGATGACCTTCCAGCTAAATGACCGCATGAATACACAGTCTATTTTCTTTCTTTCTTTCTTTTTTTTTTTAAAAAAGATGACCGGTAAGGGGATCTTAACCCTTGACTTGGTGTTGTCAGCACCACACTCTCCGAAGTGAGCTAACCAGCCATCCCTATATAGGGATCCAAACCCATGGCCCAGGTGTTATCAGCACTACTCTCCCCCAAGTGAGCCACGGGCAGACCCTGACAGTCTATTTTCTTCAGACTCTGTTCAACAGAAAGAAAAAAAAAAAAAGAAAATCAAACCAACTGGGAGAGAGGGTAGAAATCCTGTGGGTCACTGACATGATTGCACAAAGGCAGTCTCTACAAAATAGCAACCAGGTTTAAGCAGTGCCACTTAAGATTGCCAGCAAAATCCATGTCAGAGTGGGATTAAATACCGAGGGAGCACACTTAATAGACTGTGACATAATCCCCAAAGAAAAGTGGGGGAAGCCCCACTGCGCTAATCATTTCAATCCAGAACTGCCAAACCCTCTTGAGACAGGCATGTGGGAGAAAACTCTGCAGTGTCAGCCTGAGCCGAGTCCGCTTTATTCCCAGAAGCTGTATTGGCAATGCCCTAGCATGGCTGCACCTGGTTTGGCTACCAGAACCCTCAAGGACAGGAAACCAACAACACTGGGAGACTGACTTAGAACTGGCCCCTAGGAGGAAATGCGAACAGGCCAATGCCTTGCCTACAGTCAGTTCTGCCTTGTACCTCATGGACAAAGTTTCCAGGGCATTTAAATTTCCATTTTCAGAGCTGGCTGCTTTTCTTCTTGGGTCAAAGAAAAGACCTGGATTCCCATTCTAAAGAATGCCTACTGGGCCAACTCCATACAGCACAGAAGCATGCCAGGTACAGTACTCGGTAAAGCTATCTCATGTTCCAAAGTAGGCTGGCCCAATCCACCAGTCTACAGTTTTGGGCATCACGCTCCTTTCTCAACCAGCCTGGCCTCTTCCCTAGAGTGTGATCTTGGTATGTAACCTGAGCCTTGGTTTTCTTATCTGTAGAATGGGATAACAGTAGTAATTACCTTAAGGAACGTGAAGGTCAGATGAGTCATATGGATAAAGCCCCTGACACTGGGGGCAGGCACAAAGCAAGTACAGATAAATAGTAGCTACTGGTTTTAAGAACCAGCTAGCATGAGTGCATCTCTACATGGATAAACCTAAACAGGATAGAATGCTGATTTGGAAGCACAATCTCTATGGGGAGGACTGCTGACTGCTGGCCAACAAGTTCCCACTTCACTTGGCCTGACCACACAGGCACCATCCTCTCCCAACCAATCCTACTGACAAAACTGACAAAATTGACATCTCCCCTTTCTCAGCCCTAACCTAGGTGGCACCAGAAAGCAACCAAGTGGCTGATCAAGAGGAAAAGGCAAAGGGAGAGCTGAGCCCCAGGAAGAAGGAACAAAGGCCCCTTACAAAAATGAAGCCTGGCAACATGGCAACTCTCTAGACAATAGGGTTGGACAGAAGTTGAAAGGGACCCCAAGTTTCTGGATCTATCTGATTTATAAGGGGAAAAAAATGAGGCAAAACACAACAAAAAAGATGGAAACTCATGGGAGCAGTGGCTGTTACCTGAAGATCATGAGAGCCCTTGACAAGAGACGGCTAGGTTAATGAGAAGATCAGGGTTACGATCATTAACTGCCCAGACTCTGAACAAATTGCCTGGGTAGGCTATGAATGACCCATTAACTAGGGACAAAATTACAAAAATTACAAAGAGGTTCCGCCTCTTCAAATGTTTAATGATTAGCCTAAATGCAGGAGTCCAGGATCCTCAAATCCAGCCCTGCAGGATAGTCATTTACTAGGAATGAAGGCCCAGAGCCTTTCTTTTAGAAAATTGGCTCAGGACTCCTGTCTAAGAAAGGCCCCCACGACCTTCCCTTGATTTAGAATGTGGTGAAGCAGCCACAAGAGAACCTC